CACCAGTCTGAGGGCTTCAGTCGGACGCGTGTGGCAGTGGCAGCCGGGTTTGGCAAAAATATGCAAAATCGTTCAGTCAACGTCGAAACATGTTTGTTCCTTGGTTTCCTGGCAAATTGTCCCTGTGGCTTGATTCTCAAGTTCCACTTTTGGGCTTGACAGGGTGGAAGGGTGCGAACCCCCCCACCGATGCGCGCGACTCCGACAATTTCCGGCGACCCCGCCCCCCCCCCCCCCGGTTTTTCCGGCGGCTCCGAATGCACCGAAGCTTTGTTCGATCGGGTCGATCGGGTCGAAGGCTTCAGCTGCGCCATCTCGGCCTGCGAGAAGGCGAGCCGCTGGGAGGCGGCCCTGGGGCTGCTGGCGGCGCCTGCGATGGAGTGGCTTTGGGGGAGGGGGCTTCGGGTTTTTGGGGAGGGGGCTTGGGGGTTTTGGGGGTTTGGGTTGCAGCCCGGGGGGGTGCGAACACATTTGTATTGACTGAATTCATGGTTGTCTTTTTGTTTGGGCGGAGGGTGGAGGGCTTGGGGAAGGGATTGGTGTTGACTTTGCAGCTTCTGCTTGCGTTTTTTGTTGCATTGTTTTTGGTGGGCTGAGCTGTGTGCCGTGCTGGTTTGGGTTGGCGGCGCCAACAGAGCAACAGGCTGCAACAGTCACCACACGTGAGCTCCTTCTTTCTTCTTGCCAGGCTTCCTCTTTTCTTTGGCTCTCTGTTTTGTTGGGTTTTGGGTTTGGGGGGGTGGGGGGTGGGGGTGGTTGGCAAGCCAGGAGACATTGTAGGAGTTGCCTTCTTTTGGACATGGAGCATGCCCATGACCAGTGGGAGTCCCAGGCGCAGTTGGAGTCCGACATCTTCCCTGACGAAATCAGCTGCCATGTCTGCAATGCAAGCGACTTCGGCCTCGGCTCGCTCATTTTGGCCAAAATGGTTGACCAGAAATCCGGCATGGTGTTTTCTCCTTTGATGAATGCAGCGCTGAGAAAGGAAGTTGAATTGCCCCGCAGGTTTTCACCCAAACGTACACTACTTGCCAGCATGCAACCTGGCTGTCCATGGGCACCATATTCAAAAGGGGCCTCCCGCCACGTTCCACGATCACTTGTTTCCCTCGCCCGACCTCGGTGCCTTTCGCCCGCGCGGTGTTGCCGAAGCAAAGTGCATGGGTGGAGCAATCGGGAAGTTCAAACAGATGCCCAGCAAAACACCGTTTTCCAAGGGTCTTAACAAGCCGAAGCTCCAATTCCAGCGGATGGGCTTTTCATCGCAGCATCGCGACACCTAGGGCTGCGAGTTCCTGCCAGGCTGCAACAGCGCCATCAGCGCCTGTGAAAAGACGACCCGCTGGGAGCTGGCGATGCACGTGTCACAGAACATGCCGCAGGACTCCGACGCGATTCCGGAATCCACACAGTGCCCTTTTAACATCAGCGACCGAAAAACCCGGTGCCCTTTCGTCGCCATGGCCACTGGAGGTCTGGGTGTGGAGAAAATTTGGGCGGGAGACGGTTCCACTTGGAGCATTGGGCGAAGTCAGAAACCGGCGTCGTTTCTGGGTGAACCCAACCCCGGCTTGTGATCCCATGGGTTCAGCTAGCAAGGCGGAGAGCATGAGGTAAGGAGGCCTGCGCAACTGAAGCAACCGCGGAAAGGGCCTAAAGGTGCACTTGGCATTGAGTTTCAACCTATAAAAGGGCTGTGGCCAGTTCCAAACCCAACATGGAGAATCGGATGGCAAGTCCAATTGGCGGCTTGTTTTGCCGCTCAACCAAAAGTGACTAGGGGTGGGCATATGGAACCAACAATGGCGCCCCACGGCAGCAGCGGGAAAGTTTGCGGAAGGTTGTCCTGATTCGTTTACTGCGGAAGCTCGCAGCATCACGTTCTGTCGTCACTTCTGATTTACCAGCTGTTTGGTTGCAATGCATACAAAGTCCTTTCTGCGAAGCTACCAAGTGGAAACCTGCTCCGCGGAAGGCGGAAGCACTTAGAAAAGAATACTTTGCGGCAGGTACCCCTCAGCACAGCGGAAGCTTCGCGGAAGGGGGCCCACATTATATCCAAGTTTGAGGGGAATAAACACCACTCACTCGAGTTGACTTCAGTGAGGGTGAAATGGGCACGTTCATGATGAGAATCGAAGGATCCCCAAGGGAGCTTCGAACTGGTCCAGGCCAAGCTGTTGCCGGACGTGGTCACCTACAACAGCCTCATCTCGGCCTGCGAGAAGTGCGGAGAATGGCTCATGGCTTCTTGCCTGATCGGCTTTTGCCCGTTTGGCCTTTGGGGTTCGACTTGTTTTTGCCGAAACGGCAAGCAAGCTTTGCTTGGCAGGGGCCTACCTTTGGCCCAGGTTTGCCGCGGTCGACTTGATTTTTCCCCACAGTGAACTCCGCGGCGCTCAACATTTTTTCTTTTCGGTTGGTGGTTTTCCAAACCAAAAAGGATCAGTCCCAAGCAAGTTCTCCAGTTCTTGCAGAGCTACTGCGCAATGGGCTTCACCCTTCAAAGGAAGGACACCTGAAGGCATGGTTTGCCCCACCTGGAAGGCTCCGTTCCTTCCGTTTTTGGTGGCGTTGTGCACGGTTTGCCCCGTTGGTCGGAAGGGGAGGCGGACGCCTGCTCCACTTTCGGTCGGCCAAGGCTTTGCAGGTCCTGGAGCTTATGGCACAGGCTTGGTGGCGACATGTGGCCTGACTTGCGGTACCCACCCAACCCGTCCACTGGACGATGGCGTTTTGCCCTCAAGCGGTAGGGCAATGATCCCAGTTTCCGGCTTTACCCCGTTTACCCTACCCAAAGTCCCATGAACCTTCAGTCAAGCTTCGTGGCAAGTGGCAACCCCTGGAAACCAAGATTGGGCCTTTGCCACTTGCTCAAAATTTGTTCAAGCCAGTATGATTGAAACCACCTGCCAGGGGCCTCGTTGTTTAAGCATATTTCCCCTGCGGAAGCCCCCGCGTTTCCGGTTTTCCCCGCTACAAACAGGTCTCGGCAGCAGCGGACGTGATCACATACAGCGCAGCCATCTCGGCCTGCGAGAAGGGCTTCCAGTGGTCTTGGGCTCTGCACCTCTTCGACAGGAGCCCGAATTGAAGCGACGGCCGCTTTTTTTTTCTTTGTTCTCTTCCTCTTTTGGCCGGATGCACTGGTCGTTCTGCAAAAAGTGCAGGCGTCTCATGTTGGGAGTCCAGAAACTGTTTCGCAGTTGTTGTTGGTCCGTGACTCATGGTGATTGATTTGGGTTGCTTCTGTGATAAAGGGATCAGGTCATCTGGAAATTGCAGTACGGGCTGCTTCCCCCCACCATATTTGGATTACACCTTGACTCGAAGAGGACTGCTCCCAACATGCCGAGGTGATGCCAGACGAGCTCCAAACCTAAGTTCATTCAGCTACCTATTGATTAATGACATGCGTGCCCGGCGCTTGGGCTGCGAACTTGTGGATGTGCCAGCCGTTCATTTGCTTCAATGACAGAGCCAGAAGCAAATCCGCTGGTCCCAGCCATTAGCGGATGTTTGAGCTGCGAAGGGAGCTCGCAAACATCTAGTTGATTGTACTCGTGCTTTCTCCCCACTCGTCTCCCCACTCGTCTCTCCACTTGTCTCCCCACTTGTCTCCCCGCGTGTCTCTCCACTTGTCTCCCTGGTTGTCTCCGTGCAATACGTGAAGAACCCAGCCGGATGTTCTTTTTTCGTTGCCCCCCCACTCACGCGAGGCAATGCCGTGTCCTTGACCTTACGTCTGGTTTGGTTGCCCAGACGTGGTCTCCCGTTCTTGGCAGTTTCTAATCCAATTGAAACGCGGTTGTTTGCAGTCGGTGCTAGAATTTCCGGTGCTTGTCTGGTCATTGCTCATTAGGACTTAGTAGGGCGGGCTTACTCAGGCTTTGGAATGCCTTTGGAGCCCGATTTTCAAAGAAGCACCCTCAAACATCCACCCAAAGCCCGATCCCTTGTTAAGCCCCACGCAATATGAACACCTGGCCACTCAGGGTCTTGACGGTCTGAGATTTACGGCCATTCCAAACCCATGGCGCGATCGTTCATTGGCAGGTTTGGCTCAAGGCAATGGACTGTGTTGGCCTTGGCCATTTGCACATGCCATGCCTTGACTCAGAGAGATGTGGGCAACGTGCCGACGTGCGAGATGATTTTGTTGTGAATTGCAGGAACACATGGCCATTGGTGCAAGACATTGTTGCCCGGCGCCTGGGCTGCAAACAACTTAAGGTGCCAATTCAACCGGGGCAATGACAGTATAGGTCCTCTTGTCTCGGCAGAGGCATGTTTCAGCCAGGCTTCCTGCATAAAGCAGCTGTTAAGGCTGAGGCTCATCTCAGCACGTGTTGCCTTCGGACTTCGTGGCAAGCTTCGGTTTCAGATTGCTGCGGTTGGCGGACACGGCGCTGGCTCTCGGCGTGAGGTGCCAGCTGTAGATTGCTTTGACTGAGCCAAGGTTGCTCGCACGAGGTTGATCCGTAAGTTCCCAAGGGGGGTCGAATCCTGAAAAGGCCCCCTTTGGCAGCCGCATCTTGTGACTTTGAGGCCCTTTTCAGCCCACAACGCATCAGCGGGTTTGAGGTGCAGAGCTGGTTTGGAGAAGCGTACTGACCTTCAGGATCGAGCGATGCTTGTAGCACCTATGAGGGGCCGTGCAGCTTCGGGCAATGGTTTAACGCACGCAATCGCGTGTTTGAACTGTCGCTAAAGGCATGTTATTTATGTTTGATCGATGCCATCATGTGGCTTTGACCGGAGCCAGGGCCCAACCAGCCTGGCCTTGCCCAGAACGCCGCGGCAAGGCTTCAGCTTCAGACGGCTGTTGGCGGGCATAGGTGGCACCTTGGTGAAGTTGCATCACTGCTCTTGCACTTTCAAGGCCGGCGTGCGTTGAAACTCCACTGTGCTCCAGCGTTTGCTTCCGTGGCTGGCTTCGCATCCAGGTAGCTCACAAGAGGTTGCACTTTGGCTAGGCTTTCGTGAGAACGCCATCTGCAGCTTGAATTGAGAGCGAGCAGGTACCGCTCGGATGGCAGTAATTTGCAATGACCTTGCCAGCAAGTGGCGTTGGAATGAACCGACCTGGCCGCGTGCCTTAGGAAGCTCCGACTACGAAGGTTTGACGCTAAGTCTTTTGAAGCCTTTCCGCTCGCCTAGCGCTCGTGCACCTCAGAATGCCGAGCTTGTGTAGCTTTTGTCAGAGCTGTCCTGTTGAAGCGGGGCAAGCTTCGGTGTAGGACCTAAAGCAAAGAAGCAGCACGGGGCACTTGCATGTGGCATGGGCTGACATCAGCTATAACTTGACATTATCCTCCCCGCTAAGTCCGTGGTAAGACAACTGGCGCTAAACATTTGCATTGCTGAGGCTGAGCAACTGATGTGCGGGATTCAGAACCCCGAAGCCCAGTTCCGGAAGCCTGGTACTGTTTTGCACCCAAAGAGTTGAAGGGATTGAACACATCAACTCCAAACTCGCAGTGCCCAGCCCAAGCACACTATAATTCTGGCACACTTTGCCGCACGTTGCATTTAACATATGATGCGCCCCTCCTGGCCTGGCCTGAGGAAGCAAAAGGTTCGGCAACATGAAGGCATTAAGAACCGCTTGTATGTAACGCTGCTTGACAGTAGGTTCGGGTTGACTGCCAAGAGTGGCAGTAGATGGCGTCAATGGGGACATCATGCTGCCATGACTTGAGCAAAGCACGGGGCTGTTGGATCCCACCATCTTGGCTCTGCCAGCAATTGGGTGACAAGTTGTAGCCTGAGGTTGCTGCTGTGGTTGGCAGACACTCTGCCGCCGGCCTGCGCCTGCGCTCGCGCCTTTTGAGCCGTACACCTTCCTTGGAGGAACGGCAGCGCTGCAACTTTTCAGCCCTTGCGCTTTCAAGGCTTGCACGTGCTGGGATTTGATACGGTATGCAGTGCCTGTCTAGCATTCAGCTTCACATCCAAAACCTCCCGCTTACTTATGCCCTCCCACTTACTTCTGACTAAACTGCTGGAGACCAGTCTCCTCCGAAAATGGTCATTCGCGGTAGAACGCATGCTCAACTACATGCAACTTGCAAGTCGCTGCAGGTTGGCGCAAAAGGCTCGGTGCAAGATGGCGCACCGAAAGACACATATTTGGGGATGCCATGCCCCTCGCCCCCCTTGCATGTCTCGCAATTGCCGCGTAACATCAAAGACTCCTCTTGCTTGCTTCTGCTAAAATGCAGGGGAGTCCCGCCGAAAATTGTCATTTGTGAGGAAGCATGCTATTGCAGTTGATGCGGATGCTGGTTGGTTTGAGCCGACCCTCTGCCTCGAAATGAATCCGCTGAAATTCAATTCAATGATGAACCGTGCCTTTGCCTCAGGGGCTGGCCGGAGCAAGTTGGGTTGGCTGCCAGGAGCAGCTTGCAGGAAGGAGGTTGTTGTTCCCTTTTTGTTGCCTGCCAGGAGTAGCACCATAAGGGGCGTGATGCTGCCTTGACTCCTCTAAAAAAGCAATCCAGTAGTCATAGAATGCCTTTAAAACCAACAGGGGACAGGGGGAGTAAAATATATTCTTAAGCAAATGCAAGGGAATTGGATGATACATATTTCAAAAAGACAACCGCGAATGTTCAACCCTAAGCCTCGCCAGAAATCGCCGGGACCCTTGTGGAGCCGGAGGGTTGGGACTTGACTTTGAACATGGACTCCACCAGCTTCACTTTGCCCAGAACTGTGTGGCAGACTGCAGCTGGTAGACACAGTGGCCGCCTGCCCTCACAGCTTTTCAGGCGCACAGCTTCCGTGCACTTGCAGCGGAAGCGCTGCTACTTTTCAGCGCATCGGCGCTTTTATGGCTGGCACGCTGAAATTCGACTCAATGATGCAAGTATTTGCTTGAGTGGCTCGCTTCACGCAAAGCTCAGAAGAGCTTGTTTGGAAGGGGCTGTGTTGGGGCGTGCAGGAGGGGTGTTAGATGACATCATGGATAGCATCAAGTTGCCTTGTCTTGAGCAAAGCACAGAGCCATCCGCCAGTTTGGCTTTGCCCAGAACTTTGTCGCAAGTTGCAGCTTGAGGCTGCTGCGGCTGTCGGGGGCAGTGCTGCGCATGTGCGCTCGCGCTTCTTGAATTGGACGCCTTGTCCTGCAGCTGTGGCGAGACGCCTTGTCCTGCACAGAGCTGTCCTTTTTATGTGGGGCAAGCTTCGGTGTAGGACCTAAAGCAAAGAAGCAACATGGGCCACGTGCATTTTCTGCTGACTGACGTCGCCTACAACCAGAGCACGGGGCTGTGGGACCCCAACAGCTTCGCTTTGCCCAGAGCTTCGTGGCCAGCCTCAGCTTCGGACTGCTGTCGTGGCAGGCACAACACTTGGAGCGTGTCGAAATTCACTTCAACAATGCAATCGTGTCTAGCACTTGCTGTTGCCTGCCAGGAGTAGCATTAGACAGCATCATGACGAGCATCATGTTGCCTTGACTTCAGCACGGCACGACATTGGACCCGCCAGCTTTGCGTCGCCCAGAGCTGTGTTGCAAGTTGCGGCTTGAGACTGCTTTTGCGGCTGGACACAGTACTGCTCGCCTGCGCCCATGATGCACATTTGAGCTGCGCACCTTCCTTGCAGGAACGGCAGCGCTGCAACTTTCCAGCCCTCAATTACGCTTTCAAGGCCTGCGCGTGTTGGGATCTGATTCAAGTATGCAGTGCCCGTCTAGCATTCAGCTTCACATCGAACACCTCTCACTTACTTTTGCCGAAATTGCCGGGGACCAGCCCCCACCGAATATGGTCATTTGCGGCAAGCGCATGCTCAACTAGAGCTTTTCAGCCCTTACGCTTTCAAGGCTGTTGATTCTGGGATGCATTCCTGGCCTGGCAGTGGGCTTCACATGAAAGACCTCTCTCACATACTTCTACCAACATGCAGGGGACGAGTCCCGTCGACAATTGTCATTCGCGGGAAAGCACGCTGTTGTAGTTGACGCGGATGCTTGTCGGTTTGAGCCGAGCATGCAATCGTGCCTGGCATTTGCTTCAGGCTGGCCGGAGTGAGTTTGGGTTGACTGCCCGGAGTAGCCGTAGATGGCGTCAACACGGGCATGATGTTGCCTTGACTTGAGCAAAGCACAGAGCCATCCGCCAGTTTGGCTTTGCCCAGAACTTTGTCGCAAGTTGCAGCTTGAGGCTGCTGCGGCTGTCGGGGGCAGTGCTGCGCATGTGCGCTCACGCTTCTTGAATTGGGCGCCTTGTCCTGCAGCTCTGGCGAGACGCCTTGTCCTGCACAGAGCTGTCCTTTTTATGTGGGGCAAGCTTCGGTGCAGGACCTAAAGCAACGAGGTTGGCTACTTGTAAGGCAGCTGGCGCAAAGATTTGCATGGGGTCGAGACTGATATTCGGGGCTGAGAACCCCGAAGTCCAGTTCCCAAGTCAGGAAGCTTGCTGCCGTTTTGCGCCCAAAGAGGTTCGGGGATTGAGAAAACACTTCCACTTCTCGGCACGATGTTGCAACATCACGGGCCCCTCCTACCATGAATGTGTTTCTAGGCTTTGCTGCATTGGTAGTTCTCTCTGCCGGCAGACGCAGTACTGCGGGCGTACGCGCGGCACTTTGTGGGTGATCAGGATTTTCCTGCACGCTTGAGAAGAGATTGCTTTTAGCTGTCTGATGTTTCCTCGTTTGGGGACGCATGATGCAGTGAGCGTAAAGCAAGGCGGCACGGGTTTCAGTATGGTCCAAACCCTTGGCATACCGCATACCGTTGATTTGATCCCGAGTTTGAGCCGCAGCGTTTCCCTCCTGCCCAAAGCTTCTATCAGCTTTCCAAGATCACTTACAGCTAGGCTCAGAACAGTACCTTGTCCTTGCTGATGGCCCCAACGTCCACACCCAGCGCTGTCTGGTCAACATACCGGATATCTTGCAGCAGCACTGTGCAAGGGTTCCACGATATGGACGGCCAACGCCGGAGATAGCAGGGCGCAAGCGATATCTCATGCTAAAAGACAAGTCGGGTGGGCCGCAGCGGCTGCTGCAATTCCAGGGGTTTCATTTCGGCATCGCTTTGGGAATTGTTTTGGGCGAAGGCGCGCCGCTATAACCGTGACGACTGCGCGCGCTGCACAAAGAAGCAGCATGCGCAGTAGGAACGGGGCTTGGGAAGGGAAAGGGCTGCCACCAAGCTTGCGGGAGGAGTGTTAGCCTACACATCGCATCATTTGGATTCCAGCGGCTAGGCTGGTGGCGGTCGGCAAAGCTCCCTAGAATGCCCCAGTTTTCTGTTTTGGCTTACATGTACTATGTCTCCCCACTTGGCTTTGATTTAGCCAGGAATAAACATTAGAAAAAGCCACGCGCCACACAGTCGTTCAGGTGCTGCTCACGGCTCTCTTTGCCAAACTTTCCTCGCGACAGCCTCCATGCTCTTGTTCCGTGGAGTGGCCTGGAGCGCGTTTCCATGAATCAATTGACAGCACGGCAATGCCGGAGATGCCGCAAGCGACTGCGAAGGAGGATCGTGAGGAAAAGGCGCTTGTTGCTGCCTGTGCTGTGGGAAGCGGATGTTTCCTTGCTCTGTCCCTTCTATGAAAGCTGCCGTTTTTGTAGTTGCGCAATATTGAATAACATTGTGTTTTGGCTCAAATGAAAACATGGTGGCGCTCCGCAGCGGCCAAGCATATTTCGACTTAGCGGCGAGCAATAAAGATCTAGAGGTGCCCAAGCGATCCATCTAGTTCTACGGCAAGGCCGCAGAGGAGCTTCAGAAGAAAGAGCCCGAGACGCCCGAGAAGCCTAAGCAGCAGCCCAAACTGCAAAAGCCCAAGGGCAAAGCCCCATCCGCGCCGAGACTGGCCTAAGGCCAAACCGGCTAAGAAGCCGGCTAAGAAGGAGAAGCAAGATCTCAGTACTGCATCCTCTTTGGTGTGCTCAACATGAGCTGGTATCTCTTTTTAAATTCAACGGCAACAGTCCTTTGCCATCTCCTTTCCTTCTCCAAGTGGGGCAGTTGCAAAAAAACAATTGATACTTGGAGGACCGAGCATAGTGAGTGGCGATGGATGATCTCACAAGCTGCGTTCTCCGCGAGTCCATTGCTCCGGTGACAAGAAACCAGGATTCCTGTGGAAAATTCAGCCTCACCCATGCTGCTTCCTTCTTAAGAGCGCCTACGACGTTCTTCGCCGCATTAGCTGCCACAGGGCAATGTCTGGCTGCCCTTGATCGCTTAGCCTTTCCGTCTCCCAGGCGTTGCGGAAAAAGCTGGAAGAAGCCAGCAATCGCCCAGGAATGCGATTATGTTGGACTCTCATGTCATGGGGCCAAGTATGGCTGACATGTCTTGATTCGCTTGATGCTTTCTTGGCCATCTTGGCTCAAGTGGTTTGCCTGACTGGAGGGTTCTTTTTCTCGTTTTCGGCTACGGACGCGGCTATGGATGCCAGGCTTGATGGTGGAGGTCCCTGGCGGCCCAAGGGTCAAGGAACTGGAGGACAAGGTCGCCTCTTCACCCATGCAGCTGGGTGGCTGTGGTTTGGAGGAGGACCCAATCAACTCGCTGACCCGGACGCGGCCCTCACGACAGTCACTCAGCTCAGATAGCGCATCCAGTCAAGCTCCAGACCTCGCTCTTTTCTGCAAGGTTTCGGACCATGCCTCCTCTGTAATTTATGTTTGTGAGTCCCATGGCCGCAGAAGGTTTGCCCAGCGCGAGGCTTGGAGGTAGCCCGCGCATGGCCAAACAGTCACCCAACCGCCTGGCGAACTGGGTACGCCTGACCCTTTCCAGGTTCCATCGCAAGGGCAAGATCTACGCAATGGCCACTCCAAGAAAGAAAGGGGAGCTACTTACCCGGATTTGGGGAGCAGCTCATCCACCTGAGCACGACCGGTCCAACCGACTGCTTCTGGCACTGATGTTGGTGAAGTGTCAGTGGTGTTGCCAAACACGCAGCCAGGTACCCACCAGCCTTGAATGCTGTTCTTCAGACAGCTAAATCTGTTCTAGCAGATGACACTTGCCACGGACTCTACTCTTTTCGTCCACGCCCTTACTGGAAGCTATTCGCTTTCCTTTGAGATGCACCCGCAATATGGCAAGACCGCGAAGCAGGTTCGTGCCAGGCCGCAGCAATAAGGTTTTGGTCCACGGGGATGACTTTCTTGCATTGGGAAGCAAAGGCTTCAAGATGAACTGGATTCCACTTTGAGGGGTGCTTACCAGCTGAAACAGCTCGGCGTGCTCGGAGACGAGGATGGAGATGACCGCTCAGCACATTTCTTGAACAGTTTCATCCGTGTTGGTTTACATGAAGGTCATTCAGCAGTTTTGCCGCCGTCATGTTGAACTTCTGGTCAGACTTTTGGTCATGAAGAACGCCTAGGGCGCAGAGACTCCGGATGTCAAGAAGCCCGTGGAGCAGCAGCTTCTGGACGCGAACAGTCCGCCCGTAGCAAGGGAAGCAGCTTTGCTTTACAGGTCGAGCGTGATGCTCACACGCTGTCGCGAATATTTCGAGGAGAATGTCACGCCAAATGAGGCGGGGATGCAAGAGCTGAAAAGACCTTGCCGACACTTGCTGAAGTATCCTGACTTATGCCAAGTGTTGGTGCGACAAGCGTGGTACAACAAAGTTGCGCGAGTCGTTTCCGACCATGCAGGAGATGCCGTGACCAGACGTAGCGCAACCGGCGTGGTTGCTCTTTATGGCAGCCACGTGCTGAAGCAGTCGAGCAATGTGCAATCAGTTCCCAGGTCCAAATGAAGGACACTTCAAGCCGCTGAGAAGATACCACACTGTATAGTTGCTGCCCGGGTGATTGCCCACACTCCGGCAAGGAGGACTGTTGAATTGTGTGGCCCAATGCAGAGTTGACTAGCTCAAATGAAAACAGGGCGCCCTTCAGCGGCCAATCATATTTTCATGACCTTTCATTTGCATTTTGTGGTTGGAGGGCGGCAGAAGCACGTGACCCCAACCGCAACCGCAACTCTTGAATGCTGAAACTTTATGGCGGTGGTTGGCTCGGCCTTTGCGTTAGGTTTGGATCTTGGAGATCAAAGTTTCGCCTGATGGACGTTTCGTTTGACATTCAAAATAGCTCAGTTCCTATGAATGCGTTGCTTTGCTTTGCAGTGCCAGTGTCAAGTCCTTTCCTGCGCCGCCAGCTGGTGTGCCATGGCCAAGGCATGTGTCTTTTTCCGGGGTTCAGAAGGATGGGCATGAAGGTGAAGCAGGCAAGGGTTTTGGCACTGTCAAGACTTGAAGCATTGCGGTTCTGACTTTGATTGGACCCAGCGAGACCCTAGCCGGTTGTCACTCCCACCCTGAGGGGTGAACCGTCAAATTCATGTTTCGATGATGTCGATGCCTTGGGCGAGGGCGCTGGCACCTCACCCTCAACTGGCCCAATTAGTGACCAAATTGCTCAGGTTGCGACGGGGATGTCCTTGGATATAATTGCGCGTTGGGGCACGCTGATGGAGTGGCTCGCAGGATGGTCGTTGCCAAGATTCTGCCGGACGTGGCCCGTCCGAAACTTGAGCAAGAAGGTCCATCCAAAGGTGTATCAGCTTCAGGAAGCGGAGAGAGCGAAAGAGAGAGAGAGAGAGGGAGAGAAAGAGAGGGAGAGGGAGAGTGAGAGAGAAAGAGACGGAGAAGTAGAGAGAGAGAGAGAGACATGAGAGATAGACGCCTTGCTGTTGAAAGCTGCCGTTCCTCTTGAGGAACCAGCCATTTGCTTAATCCCCGTGTTTGCCAGGAACCCATGAAATGTGTAGTTTGCCCTTGCTTGCCCATAAAGAAACCCAAGCAGCGCACCGCCTTACCCTCGAAACAGACAGCGCACGTTTTTGCGAAGACCGTTCGTGGTAAGCCAAGCATTCTGCCGAATTTTTTGCAATCCCTTCACCTGAGTAACGTCTCCCTTTTGGTGGTTGGGTGCCGTTCTTCCACGAGCACCCCTGACTGCCTTGGTGTATTGATCAGTCAGCATTTAAAAATCAGCCCTTGCCGGATTTACGGTTTGGACATTTTGCAAACCCAAAACCGATCCAACACTGGTTTTCTTGTTTATGACTCCCAAGCCACCAGGGAAGCGATGAGCGAGGTGTTGGTCCGTCGCCGTAACGCGAAGGCCATCTGCCGCAACAGCGCCTTGAGCGCCTGCGCCAAGTCCAGCGCCTGGCGCGCGGCGCTGTCCGCGGGCCTCGGATGCGGCGCTGATGCGGCGCGGTCTGCAGGGAATGGGGGTGCTGTTGGGTGGGCGGACTTTTGGTTGTTGGGCAAGGAAGCCAACGGGCAATGGGAAACCACAAGATACGTAATATGTATGTGTGTCTATATTTCTATATATTTATAGATCTAGATGTATATGTTTGTTTTGGGGGGGGGTCCTTTTAGTTTCCCTTGTGGCCAGCTAAACGGAGGTTCTAGCTGCGTGACATGTGTGCAGGGAGCGGCTACAGGTTGCTCCAAGTTGTTCGGGTCAGTTTGCTTTGGTTTCCCTTCACTGGGGACCAACTTTCTACCCTGCCAGTTTCTTGAGAGCTACCTGCTAATGCTTACATTTGTGGACCCTTGTATTTAGTGCTATGGGCGGGTCAACAAGCAGGAAGGGGTTTATCCCAAGTTGAAAGGGATCGCTTGCATTCGGTGGTTTGCAGACACTCCCTGTTTTCGTGGTGAAAGCCTTTGGGCCGATCCCTGAAACTATTGGATCCCGATCATTTGCATTGGGATCCCAACGTTTGAATCCCAGCTGAGATCATTACAGTGGTTTTCGGGGGTATCCCTTTGCAGGAACTCCCCGCTTTCCGACTCGCCGCATTCGACTCGAGTTCAGTCGATGCGAGCCGAGGCGGTGACGGTCTCCGCCCTTTGCAGCGCCTGCGCGCAGGGCCGGCGCTGGCGCCAAGGCTTGGCGCTGCTGGGCGCCGCCCGCGCCAGGCGGGCGAGCCGAAAGAATGATGAAAGAATGGCTGGAGTGTTAACCAAGGTGGAGGGGTTCACAAGACGGTCCCCCCAATGAATCCCTACCTTGTGGTCCCCCCAAAGGTGAAGGGGGCCCCCCAGCCCTGGAGTTCACTTCTCGTTTTGTTGCTGGAACCTGCTGGGGGGGGGGTCTTCAGCCTCGCCTCAAAGGCTTGTGACGATTTCCGGCAGTGAGGTGTCTAATTGGGGCCGGTTGCAGGTTCTGGCTTGGCCAGGCTGATGGGCATGTTTCAGTCGCACAGGGCGCTGAAACCGGACACGCTGAGCCACAACTCTGTTGCGCGGGCGCTGGGCGACCGATGGCGCCGGACGCTGCCCGGAGGCCCAGGCCTCTGAATGAGGCTTGATCATGCTGAACCGATTGGTCACGCCGTAGGCTTGTTCCCACGAAGCCTGCACATCGCAAAAAGTATGCGTTGGGTTGAGCATGCCGGGATGCACTAAAGGCCAGTGACTCAGGTGACATGCCTGTTCTGCCTGGGCTTCAAAAGAACAAGCGCAAGCTGCCTCTGAGTGCGTCCAAGGAGGCGCCTTCCAAATGTGGTTTCTGGTTGAACCCCACCCCGTCTCGCATTTCCTGCAAGGGTCCGTGGTTTGAACGGGGGATTTCTCTTAGATTACCTATCAATGATCAGCAATCGTCGATACGCTGCCCCTCTTTGCTTTGACTCGCTTGGAGCAAGGCGCCAGAAGCAAGTAGCTGCTTGCCGAGCATGCCAGCAACCTCGTTGGGGGCGATCCCTGGAATTCCATATGTGCTTCCATGTTCCTTTGCGGAGAAGACTTGCATTGACTAGAACGGTTTTGGGGGACACCCAGCCCCCCCTCCCATCAAGGCAGGAGGGATGGTCCTTCAGCCCAGGTCTTTGCTGGCAGCGCCGTGTGCGCCAGCGGCCTAGACGGCGAGAGTGTGGCTCAGTTGATTCTCTCCATTTCGCGAAACAATTGGGCAAGCCAAGGGGGGTCCTTTGGCTGAACTGCTACTTGCCGTTTATTGGGTTGGATATGTTGTTGGCTTGCTTGC